CATTGTCAGTATTGTTAGCAGTATCTTGGTTCACCATGGTAAGTATGGATTGTTTGTCTGGGCCGATCTACTGTCCTTGTGTTGTCTAAAAAAATGTTGTGTGTGTCTGTGTGTTTTCACTTGTGTTTTAATTTTCTTTATGTATTACCTATATGTGTATAGTTTAATGAGATGTGTACATATATGCCAGTATAGTTGCAGTATCTTAGTGGCACCATGGTAAGTATAGGAATTGATGTCTGGGCCCTATGTCCTGTGTGTGTGTGTGTGTGTGTGTGTGTGTGTGTGTGTGTGTGTATGTATATATATATATGTGTATATGTATATATATATATATATATATATATATATATATAATTGACAAGTATTTAAAGTTGGATATTTAGAGTGCATGTTGACCCTAAAGAAATTTTTCAGTATGTGTGGCATCATGTCTGAGTTTCCACCCGAAGGGGGAAGTCCCGCTTTAATGACTAGTCCCCCAGTCCCCGTTAAGGATTGGCACCTTTGGGGAGTGGGTACCCGAGATCGACAGGTACCCGCTCCCACTTCCGGAAGTTGTCCTCAAAGCTACAGTTTTTTTGTAGCTGCTGAGTTTTTTTTTTTTTTTTTTTCACTGGAACACTGCTTCAAGCAAATAATTTTTCCTAATTGTGTTACAAAGTGTCTTACCTGGAGAAACAGCCAGTAACAGCACTTGCAGCAGTGTTGTCGGTCTGCCTTCAGTTTACTTTTGACCTACTTATCTGAAAAGGCAACCCAAAGTCCAAATGAAGGAGTGCAAGCAGCACGCTGACACTAATTGTAAGACTGTGGCTTAGTGTTGTCAATCTGCAACAGGAAAGCACCTATTGGCAGGATCTCCAGGTAAGAAACTTTGCAACAGCATTAAGAAAATCAGTGTGCCTAAAAAAACTGTATACAGTGTGGTACGATGCCACACAAACTGAAGAATACATTTTGGATTTACATACACTTTTTTAATAGAGATCTAAACCCAAAAATGTAAAAATTACATTAATATGTAACTACTTATATGAGATTTTAAAAGTTGTTTTTAGTCTTTTTAAATCTGCATTGAAGTGGTTTGTAAACCTGTACACATACCCAGTAAAGTGACTGGCCTTAGGTGATACACAGAGATTAAACCAATCCTCCTACATGTCTATCTGCAGTCTTCTCTTTTACATCCATTCAAAGCTAAATTTATAAAGCTTATTTGAGAGTTTAGTAAAAAAGCGGGAGGGGAGCTTTAAGAGCTGATTGGAGGGTAGAGACACCCCCCCTTAACACAGAACACAGAACAGAGCTGAGGCTGTCAATCTGCTAGAGGTCTCTCCCCTGTCACCATTTTTTTTTTGTGTCAGGAAAACTTGTCAGAAGTGATCAATGCTGATAGTGGAGAAACAAAGCAGCAGACAGAAATGATACTTGGTACTCTTAACTGAGACAAGTTCATATTTCATGTCTGCAGTTTACAACCACTTTAAAGAATACCTGGTGATCCTACATTGAAGGGCTTTTTCAAGCACTTCCTGCTGTGGGATGACAACTGTCTTCTAGTTGTGCTGCATTTTAACTGTTGCATGTGCCAATGGTGAAGATAAATGTGGTCATAGACTGATCAGAATGCATCTGGTTCAGCAGGAACCAGCTGAATTCTGATCCATATATGGGTAGGCTGGTTGCACTGAAGTTGATCTATTGATTATATCTGTATGGTCCTCCCACGCTCTAGGTCTCCTATTAATTTATACTAAAAAGCTTCTAGCACCTTACCATATACCCCATGGAAAATGACAGATTGAAGACTAATTGGTGCTGCGCTATCTCTAGGTGATAAACTCCTGTAATGTTAATACCCCACACAGTGTACAAATTTGTAAATAAATATACACAAAACCAAAATAATTGAATAGAATGCACATTAAAACATCCAAATTGTGGATAATAGTGAATACCACCCAAACGTAACCTAGGTACACCACTAGAAATAAAATAGGTGACTATGGGTGAACAAAACCCATAATAACAAAGTAAATATATATATGTGTATATAGAGTACTTCTTTTTGAATTGTGCCCAAAAAAAAAGTGATATGATCCTATTAAGGCTCCCAAAAACTCAGTGATAGACATACTACACAAATTATATCCTGCAACTGATTAGTTGCTATAGGAAATGCTCCCAAAATTTAATTGTTCACAGTGAACATAGTAAAGGATAGGTGGAAGGGAAAAAATAAAATAAAATCTGAATAAATGAATAAACAGTAGAAACTGGTGTAGAAAACAATAAAACTGCAAAGTAATTTCTGCAACACACATCTATTGCTGAAATCCGCTGAAACTTACGGATTCAAGTGAAAATTGTGAAAAAGATTAAAATACACGTGAAATCACAAAACGGTGACCCCTAAATCAGGGGTATGTGAAATAGATTGTGTATAAGTGACATAAATAATATGAACACAATGGGTCCTGAATATCATGAAGGTGTCTTGTAGTTCTTAGATAGTGCTGGTGAATACACAATGCAATAAGATCCAACACTAGGCGAAATGCCCCCTCACCTCCATGAAGTGACCCTGCAGGGCCAAAAAGCCTTTCTCATATATTATCGCATCAACCAGGAACCATTTCCACAGATATCAGGTCAGCAGATGGGTCAGTCCCCCTCACTGGTGAATATCAGCACAGCAGGAACCCTCTCCAGAGCAGTAAGTATAGGAACAGCCAAAACTCATACAGCCGGAAGGAATGTAAACGAAAATGCTCCCATAGTGTAATAATGTTATGGATTTAATAAAGAAACAATCAAATGCCCACTCACATGTAATGAATATAACATAAGCTTTAAACCACATGCTGTGGGTGTACTTGCATGGGTTTGTATTGGAGTCCCAATATGGCGTCCGTGCCGGAAATTACATCACCACATCCTACGCGTTACGTCACGCTAACACGTGACTTCCTCAGGGTACCATGAGGAAGTCGCGTGTTAGTGTGACATAATGCCTAGGACGTGGTGACATAATTTCCAGCGCGGACGCCATATTGGGACTTCATCTGTCTCATCACACAGCAGAAGCAAAAGAATGTTATTTTACTACCTCTTTCAACGCAAAAACATGTCGTCCCTTTCACACCTGCAAATCCTGTAGTGTTTTCTTATTTTTGTCCAACCTCTGTATATTGTGCAGGTATGGTCCAGAGCCACAAGTGCAGGAAGCTACGGCATTTACACATGAAGTTACTAAAAAAAGGCTGGAGGGGATCAAGCAGTCCTATGATGGAAAAAAAAGAAAACTGTATTTTATGTAAAAAAAAAAAAAAAAAAGTGCTTTGGTAAACTAAATTACATACAGTGAAGGAAATAAGTATTTGATCCCATGCTGATTTTGAATGTTTGCCCACTCACAAAGAAATGATCAGTCTAAAAATTGAATGGTAGGTATATTGTAACACTGACAGACAGAATAGCAACAAAAAATTCAAAAGAAATGCATGTCTAACAAATTATGCACTGATTTGTATGTTCATGAGGGAAATAAGTATTTGATCCCCTTCACAAAACATGTCTTAGTACTTGGTGGTAAATCCCTTGTTGGCAATCACAGAGGTCAGACGTCTCCTGTAGTTGGCCACCAGGTTTGCGCACATCTCAGAAGGGATTTTGGCCCACTCCTCTTGGCAGATCCTCTCCAAGTCATTAAGGTTTGGTGGCTGCCGTTTGGTAACTCGAACTTTCAGCTCCCTCCACTGATTTTCAATTGGATTAAGGTCTGGAGACTGGCTAGGCCACTCCAGGACCTTAATGTGCTTCTTCTTGAGCACTCCTTTGTTGCCTTGGATGTGTGTTTTGGGTCATTACCATGCTGGAACACCCATCCACGACCCATTTTCAATACCCTGGCTGAGGGAAGAAGGTTCTCACCCAAGATTTGACGGTACATTGCCCCGCCCATCGTCCCTTTTGATGCGGTGCAGTTGTCCTGTCCCCTTAGCAGAAAAACACCCCAAAGCAGAATGTTTCCACCACCATGTTTGACAGTTGGGATGGTGTTCTTGGGGTCATAGGCAGCATTCCTCCTCCTCCAAACACAGCGAGTTAAGTTGATGCCAAAGAGCTCGATTTTGGTCTCATCTGACCACATCACTTTCAACCAGTCCTCCTCTGCATCATTCAGATGTTCAGTGGCAAACTTCAGACGGGCCTGGACATGTGCTTTCTTGAGCAGAGGAACCTTGTGGGCACTGCAGGATTTCAATCCTTGTCGGCGTAGGGTGTTACCAATTGTTTCTTTGGTCCCAGCTGCCTGGAGATCATTGACAAGATCCTCACGTGTAGTTCTGGGATGATTCCTCACTGTTCTCATGATCATTGACACTCCAGGAGGTGAGATCTTCCATGGTGCACCAGACCTAGGGAGACTGACAGCTGTTTTGTGTTTCTTCCATTTGCGAATGATTGCACCAACTGTTGTCACCTTCTCACCAAGCTGCTTGGCGATAGTTTGGTAGCCCAGTCCAGCCTTGTGTAGATCTACAGTCTTTTCCCTGACATCCTTGGACAGTTCTTTGGTCTTTGCCATGGTGGAAAGTTTGGAATCTGATTGTTTGATTGCTCCTGTGGACAGGTGTCTTTTATACAGGTAACAAAATGAGATTAGCAGCACTCCCTTTAAGAGACTGCTTCTAATCTCAGCTTGTTATCTGTATGAAAGACACCTGGTAGCCAGAAATCCTGCTGAATGTTAGGGAACATGCAAATCCGTGCATAATTTGTTAGACATGCATTTATTTAGAATTTTGTGTTGCTATTCTGTCTCTGTGTTACAATACACTTACACAGTCAATTTTTAGACTGATCATTTCTTTGTGAGTGGGCAATCAAAATCAGCAGGGAATCAAATACTTATTTCCTTCACTGTCTATTGTGATTTATTCTGATTAATCTTTCTAAACCAATTTATAAAGCTATTTTCTGCTTTCCTGTTTATAGTGTCACACTCAACAGTTTTCTAATTTGTCTGTGTATCATAGGTTGCTTCTACAGTAATGTTCATTTTTTTTTATTTTAACAGGTGTTTGTTTCGGAAAGCAAGTCATCCGCCTCTCAAGATGTGGATAACTTTTACAACTTTGCCGACATGCAGATGGGAATGTAGAGTTCAGATTCATATGTTCGTGGCAGTGCTTATTGTTTTTATGCATAGAAGATATGCAGAGAGACCTATATTTTTTTTTAATAACTGTTGCCTCTGCTCACTTGAAGCAGGCATCTGTTTAGAAATCTTGTTCTCGTGGTGTTTGTACACAACATTTTTAAGATATTTGGTTTTCATGTAAAATAATATGTATGTAATGATTTTCTTAATACAAGTAAGAGGACATTCATTTTTATTTAAATATGACCCATACTTAAAAGTGAAGCTATCTACAAACAAGATTATCATTTGTATTTTATTGGCAGCCTGAGCTTCTTTTTTTTTTTTTTTTTTTTTTACCTTGCTTCAGGGCCCAATAGTCTTAAGAAAATGCTAGAGAATTCTCTGGGACTTTCTACCACAACAATTAAACATTATTCAGATCAGCCAGCTTTACATCCCTACCACCCACTTTCCACTTTGTTTATATTTCCCTTTAATAGATGCCTGAAAATAAATGAATACTGTACTTTTTAATATTACCGGAAAATGTGATAAGGCGAAAGTTGCACTATGTTAACTTGTATAAAACTTTGTATTCATAGTTTTGTTGGAGTACTTTGGTAAAATGATGACTATTGCATAAAACAAATTTACATTCAGAAAGGTTCCATAGAGTTTTTTTGGTAATGATAAAAAAAAAAATAATTCAGAAATCAGTTAAAGAAGTATTGCAAGCATGGTATATTTTTACATACCGTAGTTAGATCTCCACTAGCTTCAAGGTCCCCTGCTGCATGGCTGGCCTGATGCATTGTGAACACAGGAGGTTGGCCACTCAGCATGAGCACCATTCAGAGAATGCTTTGCATTTTCTGAATGAATGCAACGTGTTCCCTTATTGGATGAAATGGGGTGGTGACATCATACTCAACACCTTGTCTAGTCAGAGAATGCTTTGCTTTCATTCAGAAAATTCTCTGAATGGTGGCTTCTGTATTCACAATGCATCAGGCTGGCCACTCAGCACAAGACTCGGAAGCTAGTGGAGATCACTAGAATGGTGGTGTTTGCTTCATTGTTTTCCAGCTTCCAGGGGCATCAGCCAGGTATTTTATGTACATAGTTATAATGGTCCAAGCTGGACTAATGTAACTGTAAGAATATACAATGTCTGAAAATATTCTTTAAGTAATGTATTATTTTTAATGCTTAATAAAAAAACAAATAATGCAGACATAGCATTATACCTTTTTTGATATTTTTTAAATGCTCTTGAAATTGATTTGTCCTTTTTTACTGTGCAACAGTAACTTCTGTGAACAAACCTCTTGTAAATGATGTTTTCTTTCTATAAAATGTTTGTGTCTGGTGCATAGCTGAAAATCATAAGGTTTCAATATGTATGATAGCAGTAATGCATACAATCTTTCTTTGCTGTCCTTCATTTAGTGCAGGTTACGTCTTTTCCCATTTAATCAGTGATGACATTTTTTTGAATAAGGATAACTATGGGTACAGAACCATACTCTGACAATCCAAAAGTTGGAACAATCTCTTTGTGATCCTCATGCGAGTTGCCCATCCATTTATTAGCTTATGAGCTGCATTCAGTTATAACAAGTGTTAACAAGTCACATTAAAGCCAAAAGTAGTAGTAAAGTCCACTAGCGTCAAACACGTAATTCCACAGAGAAACGCTACACTTTCCTAAACCCCATTTTTTTTTTTTAACCTGATACATGTGGCTATAATGATATTCCTGGCTTGTACATTGCAGGTCACGCAATTGGTCTGGCTTGCTGAGATGCCTGCTAATTGGCATGTCAAGAGAGGGGGGCATGATGATGTGAATGTACAATATATATGTAAAGCACTGCGCAAATTGATGGCGCTATATAAGTACCTGAAATAAAATAAAAAATAAAATGTCATTGCAGGAAATGACATTGCGTCCAAGCTTCTGCATTTCCATAGTATTGAAATGCAGTCAGACCCGGCGGCAACGTCAATTCCCCCTTTCCCTAGCTGGGTGCAGTGAGGGGAGGGGAGGCTGGAGGGGGCCTGGCTTTTCACAGACAACAACAGTTAATGTTATGCCGCTGTTTATACAGCATGCCTGTATTAACAGTGGCATGACATAGGATGTAAACTGCCCACGCTAGCATGCAATGGCAGCCATGGTCAACCAGGTATTACACAACACAGGCTAGGCTGAATAAAATAGCAATGTTAAAAAATGTATTGCATTGCTTTTTTTTTCTTACAAACACTTGAAGTTTAACAACTTCAATACAGGGCACTTTCACCCCCTTCCTGCCCAGGCCAATTTTCAGCTTTCAGCACTCTCGCATTTTGAATGACAATTGTGCGGTCATACAACACTGTACCCATATACAATTTTTAGTATTTTTTTTTTCACACAAATAGAGCTTTCTTTTGGTGGTATTTAATCACCACTGGGGTTTTTATTTTTTGCTAAATAAACAAAAAAAAGTTGTTTTTTTTTTGCCACAATATTTTGCAAAATGAAGAAATTTTTAAGTGCTGTTTTTTTCACAGGGGTTTTTTTTTTTTCTAACATATGGTCACCTGTGCAATACAGCGTCATTATATAACTGGTGTGGTAGTGATCATGGACACTGGTGACAATATGTAAAAAAAAAATATATATATTTTACACACACACACACTCACTCACTCACTCTCTCTCTCTCTCACACTCGCTCTCTCTCGCAAATAATTTACTAGTAGAGTAATAGAAATCTCTGATTCTGTGTAATTGAATCACTAATTGAAAGGGGCATGTTCAAAATGATTCTTTGAATGATAGGTGGCAATCATTGTCTTTATTTAAGGAAGGCAGCAAATATTGTACATGCTGGTTACAGTGCATGATATGGGGATGTTTCTCATACTATGGTGTTGGGCCTATTTATCGCATACCAGGGATCATGGATCAGTTTGAATACATCAGAATACTTGAAGAGGTCATGCTGCCTTATGCTGAAGAGGAAATGCCCTTGAAATGGGTGTTCCAACAAGACAACGACCCCAAACACCCCAGTAAACCTGCAACATCTTAGTTCCAGACCAACAAGGTTGACGTTATGGCTATAGACGGGTGGAAAATCGGGAGATTTAAAAAACAAAAACCGAAAAATCGGTTGTTCGATCGGCTGACGTTACCACCAATGTTAAAAAAAAAAATCAGCCGATTTTTCATCCCGTCCTCAGTCGGCATTAACCCCATAACTACTGTCCCTTGCAGAGATGGGAGCACACCATACAATGTGACAGCAATACATAAGAAGAATTCCAGTCCGCTATTATATTTTATATGAAAAAGTCTTGTGGTTGCAACAAATGTATCCATTTGTATCCAAATAAAAACATTGTAATACATTATTATACATTATTTGGATAATCAGAGTGGGTGGATGACAGGTCTGTGTCCACTCACAGAGTGGACATGGACAGAGCCCATCCTGCTCTATGGACCTGTGCGTGTAAATGGACTCCGCTGTGTGTTTACACCCGACTGCCCTCCGATCCACCCAGACGGATGGGGATGGATCCCCTTTTATTTAGCAGACCAGATTGAATTGGAGGTAGGTGGATAGAAACAAACACAAGTCTGTGTACACCTGCAGGTCCATAGGAGCAGAGGGTCCGATCAGGTCTGCCTGAAAACCTGATAGGCGGACCTGAATGGACCCTCTGTGTAAAAGGGGCCTTAAACCGTTATTTGCTGATGCCACAGCACTAGTGGGGCAGCACAGGGGCTAGTACTTCTGCCTAGCAGCATAAGGGTTGTTGGTTCAAATTCCAACCATTGCGCTAACTGCACGCAGTTTGCATGTTCTCCCTGTGCCTGTGTGGGTTTCCTCACCACACTCAAAGGACATTCTAGTTTAATTGGATCCTGTCTAAATTAGTCCTAGAATATTTGAATGTGAGTTAGTGACCTTAGATTGTAAACTCGAGGGTTAGGGACTGATGTGAATGTACAATATATTTAAAGCGCTGTATAAATTGACAGCGCTATATAAGTACCTGTAATAAATAAATTGTCACAATGGTCATTTTGGCTTAGGACATGGCAGGTGAAATGTGGGTGGGCACCAGGGATGAGCCCAAGTGTATTCAGATACTAGTCCTAGCCCACTTGGGCTATCCTGTCACTGTGGATCACCAGTCATAAGTGGATGAGGCATTCCCCACCCAACAGCCTCATGTATACAAGGAGAATGTACATGCACAGCTACAGGGTGAGGAATGCCTTGGCCATTTAGTCCTCATGCACACTAGACGTTTTTACAGCTGCTGTTTTTGACATTTTTTTCTACAGCCAGTAAACTCCCCAGCATGTCCTGCTATGTGTCCATGCACACAGACTGTAATCAATGTTTTTTGGCTGTAAAAGAACCCAGGACTAGTAGGTTTCTAGAGGAGTTTTTAGCTGTAAAAACGCTCTAATGCTGAAAAAATGTGGCAAAATGTCGCAAACCAGCGTTTTTGGACTTTTTTTTTTACTTCAATAAATTTTTTTTTGTAAAGAAAAGCTAAAAAATGCAAATGCAAATGCAGCAAAACGTGAGAAAACGCAGCTAAACGCTAATGCAAAAACGCTTAAAAAAAAGCGGAGAACCTCACATTTTTAATGTGACTTTACAGAGCTAACGTTACCAGTGTTATCAAAATGTCAAGTGTGCATGAGGACTTCTGATTGGTGGTCCACAGTGACAGGATAGCTCAGGTGGGTTAAGCTGTTACATAGTGCTGCATTTAGCAGTATAAAGAAAAGAAAAATAGTGCAGGGATGCATCTGTGGCTGCACATCTTCTGAGTTTTTACCCCCTGTCTACTTGGACACACATCAGAGCATATGTAAATGCAACAAACAAACACATCTAAACATATTGGATATAATA